AGAATGGTGTGGTGCATGCTATTGTTAGGAGTTCTTCAGAATGGTGTGGTGCATGATATTGTTGGGATTTCTTCAGAATGGTGTGGTGCATGATATTGTTAGGAGTTCTTCAGAATGGTGTGGTGCATGATATTGTTGGGATTTCTTCAGAATGGTGTGGTGCGTGCTATTGTTAGGAATTCTTCAGAATGGTGTGGTGCGTGCTATTGTTGGGATTTCTTCAGAATGGTGTGGTGCATGCTATTGTTAGGAATTTTACAGAATGGTGTGGTGCATGATATTGTTGGGGATTCTTGAGAATGTTGTGGTGCATATTGTTGGGAATTCTTTAGAATGGTGTGGTAAATGCCAGTGTTGAGAATTCTTCAGAATGGTATGGTACATTCTATTGGTGAGAATTCTTCAGATTGGTGTGATGGATGCTATTTTTAGGAATTCTTCAGAATGGTGTGATGGATGCTAATTTTAGGAATTCTTCAGAATGGTGTGATGCGTGCTGTTGTTAGGAATTCTTCAGAATGGTGTGGTGCATGATATTGTTGGGAATTCTTTAGAATGGTGTGATGGATGCTATTTTTAGGAATTCTTCAGAATAGTGTGGTGCATGGTATTGTTAGGAATTCTTCAGAATGGTGTGGTGCGTGCTATTGTTAGGAATTCTTCAGAATGGTGTGGTGCATGATATTGTTGGGAATTCTTCAGAATGGTGTGGTGTATGATATTGTTAGGAGTTCTTCAGAATGGTGTGGTGCATGCTATTGTTAGGAATTCTTCAGAATGGTGTGGTGCATGCTATTGTTGGGATTTCTTCAGAATGATGTGGTGCATGATATTGTGAGGAATTCTACAGAATGGTGTGGTGCATGATATTGTTGGGGATTCTTGAGAATGTTGTGGTGCATATTGTTGGGAGTTCTTTAGAATGGTGTGGTAAATGCCAGTGTTGAGAATTCTTCAGAATGGTATGGTATATTCTATTGGTGAGAATTCTTCAGATTGGTGTGATGGATGCTATTTTTAGGAATTCTTCAGAATGGTGTGATGGATGCTAATTTTAGGAATTCTTCAGAATGGTGTGATGCGTGCTATTGTTAGGAATTCTTCAGAATGGTGTGGTGCATGATATTGTTAGGAATTCTTCAGAATGGCGTCGTGCATGATATTGTTGGGAATTCTTCAGATTGGTGTGATGGATGCTATTTTTAGGAATTCTTTAGAATGGTGTGATGGATGCTAATTTTAGGAATTCTTCAGAATGGTGTGGTGCATGATATTGGTTGGGAATTCTTTAGAATGGTGTGATGGATGCTATTTTTAGGAATACTTCAGAATGGTGTGGTGCGTGCTATTGTTAGGAATTCTTCAGAATGGTGTGGTGCATGATATTGTTGGGAATTCTTCAGAATGGTGTGGTGCATGCTATTGTTAGGAATTCTTCAGAATGGTGTGGTGCGTGCTATTGTTGGGATTTCTTCAGAATGGCGTGGTGCATGCTATTGTTAGGAATTCTTCAGAATGGTGTGGTGCATGATATTGTTAGGAATTCTTCAGAATGGTGTGGTGCATGCTATTGTTAGGAATTCTTCAGAATGGTGTGGTGCGTGCTATTGTTGGGATTTCTTCAGAATGGTGTGGTGCATGATATTGTTAGGAATTTTACAGAATGGTGTGGTGCATGATATTGTTGGGGATTCTTGAGAATGTTGTGGTGCATATTGTTGGGAATTCTTTAGAATGGTGTGGTAAATGCCAGTGTTGAGAATTCTTCAGAATGGTATGGTATATTCTATTGGTGAGAATTCTTCAGAATGGTATGGTATATTCTATTGGTGAGAACTCTTCAGAATGGTATGGTATATTCTATTGGTGAGAATTCTTCAGAATGGTATGGTATATTCTATTGGTGAGAATTCTTCAGAATGGTATGGTATATTCTATTGGTGAGAATTCTTCAGAATGGTATGGTATATTCTATTGGTGAGAATTCTTCAGAATGGTATGGTATATTCTATTGGTGAGAATTCTTCAGAATGGTATGGTATATTCTATTGGTGAGAATTCTTCAGAATGGTATGGTATATTCTATTGGTGAGAATTCTTCAGAATGGTATGGTATATTCTATTGGTGAGAATTCTTCAGAATGGTATGGTATATTCTGTTGGTGAGAATTCTTCAGAATGCTATGGTATATTCTATTGGTGTGAATTCTTCAGAATGGTATGGTATATTCTATTGGTGAGAATTCTTCAGAATGGTATGGTATATTCTATTGGTGAGAATTCTTCAGAATGGTATGGTATATTCTATTGGTGAGAATTCTTCAGAATGGTATGGTATATTCTATTGGTGAGAATTCTTCAGAATGGTGTGGTAAATGCCAGTGTTGAGAATTCTTCAGAATGGTATGGTATATTCTATTGGTGAGAATTCTTCAGAATGGTATGGTATATTTTATTGGTGAGAATTCTTCAGAATGGTATGGTATATTCTATTGGTGAGAATTCTTCAGAATGGTATGGTATATTCTATTGGTGAGAATTCTTCAGAATGGTATGGTATATTCTATTGGTGAGAATTCTTCAGAATGGTATGGTATATTCTATTGGTGAGAATTCTTCAGAATGGTATGGTATATTCTATTGGTGAAGGGGTGGTGGGGTAGCCTTGTGGTTAAAGCATTCGCTCATCACGCCAAAGGCCTGGGTTTGATTCCCCACAAGGGCACAATTTGTGAAGCCCATTCCTGGTGTCCCCGTCGTGATATTGCTGGAATATTGTAAAAAGCAACGTAAAACCCAACTCACTCAATCCCTTTATTGGTGAGAATTCTTTAGATTGGTATGGTATATTCTATTGGTGAGAATTCTTCAGAATGGTATGGTATATTCTATTGGTGAGAATTCTTCAGAATGGTATGGTATATTCTATTGGTGAGAATTCTTCAGAATGGTGTGGTAAATGCCAGTGTTGAGAATTCTTCAGAATGGTATGGTATATTCTATTGGTGAGAATTCTTCAGAATGGTATGGTATATTCTATTGGTGAGAATTCTTCAGAATGGTATGGTATATTCTATTGGTGAGAATTCTTCAGAATGGTATGGTATGTTCTATTGGTGAGAATTCTTCAGAATGGTGTGGTAAATGCCAGTGTTGAGAATTCTTCAGAATGGTATGGTATATTCTATTGGTGAGAATTCTTCAGAATGGTATGGTATATTCTATTGGTGAGAATTCTTCAGAATGGTATGGTATATTCTATTGGTGAGAATTCTTCAGAATGGTATGGTATATTCTATTGGTGAGAATTCTTCAGAATGGTATGGTATATTCTATTGGTGAGAATTCTTCAGAATGGTATGGTATATTCTATTGGTGAGAATTCTTTAGATTGGTATGGTATATTCTATTGGTGAGAATTCTTCAGAATGGTATAGTATATTCTGTTGGTGAGAATTCTCAGAATGGTATGGTATATTCTATTGGTGAGAATTCTTCAGAATGGTTTGGTATATTCTGTTGGTGAGAATTCTTCAGAATGGTATGGTATATTCTATTTGTGAGAATTCTTCAGAATGGTTTGGTATATTCTGTTGGTGAGAATTTTTCAGAATGGTATGGTATATTCTGTTGGTGAGAATTCTTCAGAATGGTATGGTATCACACCCATTTACTACCACAGAAATAAATGGGTACTAAATAGCTGTAGTAGAATGGTGTCCTGAATGCTAAATTACTGTTGGAAATGGAAAAAAACAGTTTTTAGGCTGTTACTCTGTGTCCCTAAAATTTACACAATTGCAAAAAGCATATGTCAATTAACCCACATCAGCCTAACTTGGCTTCAGTGGGATGCTTAATAGGATATCCAGAAAAGCATGTTTACTCGTAAAATCGGGCAAAACTTCGATCAGAAACAATAGATCAGACTATAGATGGCAATTAGGTCGTTCAGGCAGGTATGACGTCAGACCATCGACTCACCTGGCATTAATGCATGAGGTACAAGGGACCATCTCAAAGATATTTATGCTTTTTCATGTGTGTTGAATAAGCCTCATCTATTGATTAACATCTTGTGCGTCTTTCTTTCATAAGGTTTATGGGAAAGAGTATGGTACCCAAAGAAAAGCTTAAATCAGCCATCGTACTGAATGTCTCAAAATATATAGGTGGCATGACCACACGAAGATAGATAGACTGGATATTATTTGTAAATTGTTATGACATGCCGTGTACTTCCCCAGTTTAATCCTAAAGTATTATCTTATCTTAGCTGGTATCTCTATCCAGATATCTACCCAGCCCGACCCTAACCACCGTCTGCGACACCAGTCATTGTTGGGGTTTGAGACGATCCCTCCTACCTGTTCCTTTTTATGGTGATAGTCACTCCAGAGTAGCTACATCCTTAATAGTTTCAGCATTCAAGTTATCACCATTACGCCAACTATCGTTAATAATGAAACTAAGTCTAATTTCAAATTGGGCATTTAAAAAGTGGCCTTGGTAATACCATATCATCGCACATTGATTCGCATAAAGCCATGGTCTGTTCCAAACTTTGGACTTAGTAAAAAACTGTATTGCTAATTTCTGCACTAATCTCTCCTCAGTAAAGTCCATTTTTTACGTTTCCTATCTCCCTACCACTGAGACTGTAGTTAGACCGAACTTAGTTTAACAGATATTTCACATATTAACTACAACAATTGTAGATATAAATGTGAAAAAAAACACCAGTTTTTTTCTATTTCGGACAGTACTTTAGTATTGAGAATTCTTCATAATGGTGTGGTGAATGCTATCAGTGAGAATTCTTCAGAATGGTGTGTCGAGAACTATACATGAGAATATTTTCAGATTGGCATGGTGCAGACATTGTTGGTATTCCCTTCACTTCCAAGGAAATACATGGATACTATATAGCTGCAGTAGCTGTGATAAGACCTCAGGTCGATGTCAACAATTTTCTGTGGTATGAAAAAATGAGGCATTCCGAACATAATATATTTTATTTGTGTTTCTCCAGTCACGATCCACAGCTGTCTCCACCACTGTCAAGAGTCTGAGTTACATCGCAGGTTTTATGTACAAACAGAGAGACACAATTAATCTTCAACATAAATAAGCTCACTACAACTGTATTCACACGGAGCTCCAAGATGGCGGCAAAGTCTCTCATTCGTTCTGCTTCACCATGGCAACCAGCAACACTTTGTACACAAAGGCTTAGGGCAATGAAGGCATAAAACACAAAACAAAGTACATGTACACTGGACAATTGTAGTGAAGTGCAGGTCATCCCAATACACTGTGTTGCCCGAATGTTGACTTCCTGGTTGACCTCTACGTTGTCTTGAGCCTCTGTGTGTGACGTCAGCTGATTGGCATGGTTCAGAATGTCTCTCAACCTCGTGTCTATCTATACAAATAGTCGGCCTGTAGATTAGCGGCTATCTCCGCCTCCCACTTGTCCCCATTGTTGAGGAGTTTCTCCTTGTTGTACAGCAGCTCTTCTCGGGTCTCGGTGGAGTATTCAAAGTTCGGACCCTGCAAACAGACACACAAAAAGTGCTCAGTTTCATGTCTACACCAGACATCATTCCCAATACCTTGTGAGTTGGGTTCAACGCCACCATGAAAAGTATCACATCCAGTCTGGGATCAGCTGATCAGATGACAGCTGTCTGACATGCCCACATACAGAACTGCATCCCAGATTACACCAGGTCATTTATCCCAGAGAAATTATTGCACACATAATAAATCACCAAGGTCATTACGGTCACCATGGTTACCATGGTTACCATGGCTAACATAACATATGATAACAATGTTGAAATTTGTGATAACTCTCCATGCTGAACCAGAGATTCCTGCTCACTGTACTCAACTACTCCTGTCTGAGTTCCCCTTCCCCCCCTCCATATCATAACCACATAGCATCCAGTATAGATAATCATTAAGTATAGTTCCAGCTGACCAACTGTTACATAATTATAAGAAGACAACAATCAAGGTCAGTTTATAGGAAGACGACCGAATGGTCCCAGCAAGGGAGATAACTCACCTCCACGATGGCATCAACAGGACAGGCCTCCTGACAGAAGCCACAGTAGATACATTTTGTCATGTCGATGTCGTATCTCGTCGTACGCCTGCTGCCATCAGACCGCGCCTCCGCCTCTATAGTGATGGCCTGAAACCAAACATGGCATGCTCAACTTCCTCAGCACTTCTTGACCCACACATAAAATCTACTCATGCCTTCATAAGAACATCTCAATTTTAAACTTTACAATAATTAACAATAAAAATATACAGAGAAGTGTGATATTCCTCATATCTACAAATGAATCTGAGGTACATGTACAACCCATCTACTTAAATTTAAGATCTACATTTCTATCAATTCTACCTCTGCAAAACCAGCACAAAAAAGAAATAATGAAATATACTTGTAAAAGCAGCTTTACCTAAACAAGCATCAGCTAACAATTGAGATCAACCCAAAATATACACATGGATTACCTCCCTTGGGCATTACTAAACATGAGGTCTTTGAATGGCATTTAGAAGTAATATACTACATAAAAGGTGAAAATTTATTCATGTCAACTTGTGTAATATGAGGGATACGATGTTTCAGAGTACTGGTATTTGTTATTATTAATCCTTCATCAGGTGAAGAAAACTACGAAGCAAATTTGGGTCTTCCTTTGGAATCTTGAGGGTCTTGTTGATAGTTTGATAGTTTTTAAGACGAGATTCAAGACTTCAAAGCCAAAACACAAACCTACCCTACCTGCCATCAGACTCACCATTTCCTACCTCGACCCTCCAGACCTCTCAGCCAATACCCAAGCCTTATCATGTCTTTAGTAAACATTAAACAGTGTTGATGATTACCAGCTGGGTTTCCATGACAACAACAAAGCATCGGACAACTCACGGAAGTGTTACTTTGATAACCATGGACACAAGACAGAAGAAGCTGGTTCAGTTACCTGTGCAGGACAAATGGCTTCACACAGTTTGCAGGCAATACATCTCTCCTCACCGGAGGGGTAGCGCCGCAGGGCATGCTCCCCACGAAACCTGGGACTGAGGGGACCTTTCTCGAAGGGGTAGTTGATGGTGGCCGGTTCCTTGAAGATCATTCCCAGGGTCACTCCAAAACCTGGTCAGTTGATAATCACTTGTTTATTTTGTGTAAATGTTTTTCATAGCATCCACAAGTTACAGGTGACTAAGTGTACATTCATAATGAATAACTACACAAAATAATTTCAAACAACCACTGATTTATTTCATCATAATTCTCTTTTTAAAACAATGAACTAGGGGTGAAACGGTACGCTCTTACCACGGTACGGTACGTATTGCGGTACAAGGCCTTCGGTTCAGTCTGTTTTGGTTCGGTATATGAGACATTATCATAATGCAGAAAATTGACAACAAGCGCCAAACCTTACATTGTTTAATAACATGGGAAACAAATAATCATAATCTTTGTTATTTTCAATGAACAAAACTGTCATTTCATGACAAGATAGAAGAATTAAAATATCACTGGAACCTTGGAGCTCACAGCTGTGTGGCAAAATAGCAAGTAGCCAAGTATGATTTAAAGTCACTAACATCACATCAGCATTTACTGCAGTGAAATAACCATGTCCCATCTTGTCGAACGTGACTCTGTTGATGACATATCATAGATGAATACATCAAACTAATTAACACAACACAGTTGTCATAAGATCGTTACAGTTTGTGTGACTGATCATTGTCCTTGCTCTAAATCATTGTCTATCTCTCGTTTCAGTCGGTTAAACATTTAGAGACTTTCCACAGTCCTTGGGAAGTACTGCTACACAATCTTGGCACATTCCAGAAATTTGTTTTATTCAGTTTTCAGATTCATTCAAAATATCTTTTAAAGTTCACTCAGAAATGTATTTCTCCTTTCTGAAACAAATATGTTTTAGTTTGAAAATGCTGATTTCTCTTTTTATTGGTCGTTAAATGTTCATTGTTCTGATATAGCTGACATAGATATAAGGCATAAGAACTGTGATGGGAAAGCCACCAGATCCATACCCATAATTGCAGTCATCCCTCACCATAACGCCGGTCTTGGGGTCCATGGATGACTCCCCGAGTTATGAGACACCCGCGTTATACATAACCCGAATAAAGGCCAAGTAAAATTGTATTTTCCATGGACATAACAGAACTGCTATTTCGTGTACTGTGCCCAGTCAAAACTATATCATATCCTCGTTGTAGGTGAAAAAACAAACTTTGTAAATGAAAATAAATATGTGTATTGGAAACCTGCAATCAAATTAAACATCACTAGACATGATAATTCAGTTGTCCTTCCTGTTATGCTACCTGTTATTCAACTAAGCTGGAAATAGCAATCAGCTGTGTACTCATGTTTTGCTCTAATCTACCGGTGATTCAGTTAAAAACGATCTGAAAATATAACATCAAAGAATTTCTATTCCATTACCAGAATAATTTATATCTCAAGCAGTAATTTTAACAGAGATAATATATATCGCTGTGGTATTAGTATTATGCATGTTTTCTACGAACATATTTAACATAATAATTAACATAGGTTCAGCACTTTGAGTTACGTGGCTGGAGACAGTTTGACAAGTCACCGTTGACTTCCCACGGTACCTGCCACTTTGATTGTAAAAACAAAATGTTGGCAATTAATTGTGAAATATGACTTCAATGAGTCAATAACGTGGGTCTTGGGGTCGGTGGATAACGGGGCAGTAATCTGTTCATGATTGCTGAGAATAATGTGAAATTGGTGTTAACGCCGTAGGCGCGAGAAGCGGACCCTTATGAACAAGGTAAGTGGAAATGGTACACGTATAGAATGAGGGGATGTCATTTCAGGCACGATTTCTCCGATGTTACTGTAAACAGTTTTAATGAATGAAAATGGGATTAAATTCAATCAAATAAAATGAAATCGAGGAAGATTGTTTTATTATGAGTTTTCTGACATCATACGTTTTCGGATGGCAGTGTTTACTTGCGCTATATAATGCGGTGTGTTGCATCACAGCAAACATCATAAGTACTCGGCTGATGGCGTGTCTTTATGAAAAAGTTGTCTTTTATAAGTTATTACAATGTTCCGCTGTTCGTCTGATTTGAAATAACTGAAAAAGAAACGGAACCCAGCTACTGATCTGGTATCTGCAGTTGCTGTCTTGCAGACTTTGTAAGTAGACGCCTTCAGGCTCTCTCGAACTTACTTCCAGGAAAATAGCGGCAGTCAAGCAAAGAAATGCATAGATTTTTACCAAATGATTCAATTTCTAAACATTTTAGTAAAGGTTTAAAATGATTAATAAAACGACAGTACGAAAACCGAAAATACCAAATTTTTGGATTGCATTACAATATACCGAACCGAAGGCAAAATACCGCTGGTCTACTAATAATACCCTGTGGTTTCATCTCACAGTTTATGAGTAAAAATGTGATACATATACGTTTTAATGAACACGCTGATAATGTTGACAACTAATACAGTGCTATAATTTAGTGATACAGACACTACATTGCGACAATATCAGAAGAATATGCTCAACAAACTAAACTATTCAACATGGTTAACAGATAAACAATTCTACCAAACAGTTAAAACTTAAATCTGGCTTATAATTATAGGCTGACATTAGTTCAGTTCAAATTTGACAAAATCTACTTACTCCAGTGTGATCTGTTCTGTCCCAGACAGGTTGGTCTCAGCGTATGACGTAACAGACTCTGGGCTAAACAAGAAATCAACAGTTGCTCAACACGTGAATTCCATGTTGTTGTATTTTTGTTTAACGCCGCATTCAGCAATATTCAAGCTATATGGTGGGGGTCTGTAAATAATTTATTCTGGACCAGACAATCCAGTGATCAACAGCATGACTCGGAACTACACAAGTAAGTAGTCCTTGTTTACACGTGATCTCAGTTTCTCATTTGTAAAATATCGGGACCTTGGGGTTAAATAACATGACATCCAGCTTGCGTGTACATGAAAAACATAGGGACTTGATATGCCTAAAAACAAAAGCATGCGTCACAAGATAACTTCACTTTACAGATGCACTGTGTACGAAAACTAAAACTATTGCTATGGCGTAGCCTATGTTCAGAACGTTAAGGTCAAACGAGGTTACAGAATATGCAACATCTATAGCTCTTAAAGAAATTCGGTATGGATATAAGCATACGCACTATATTAAATGGCATATTGTGAATACAAGCCGATGTTGCAAATATGAATACAAATGAAAGTAGTAAGCAAAAACAAGTTATACCATTCCGACTCGCGGAAAAAAGTTTAAGCGTCGCCATCTTGGAGATACAGAGGGGGACGTAACTCTGATTATTGTTATCTTAATGTTTTATATCCACTGTTTGATAGAAATAGGTTCGAACCTAACACACAACAATTTTTGTTCATCAAGGTATTTCAAATAACACAAATTATATATTAACTATTTGAATGTTAAGATATTTATAAGACGAAATAACAAAGAAATAATTGCCACAAAAGGAATTTGCGTGGGAAATCTGTAAATATTTGCATGAATATTAGTGATCTAACTAAAAGAGTCAAGACTTGCTTAAAACAGTCCTTCTCTATTTCTGTGGTTAAAACGACCACAGTACTGACAACGTGTAAGAATTGGCGTTATTTTGGATTTGAAAATCCCCACCGTACAAAATCCCTTAGTACAAAATTTCTTTGGACAAAATGTCTGCACACTGCGGACAAAATCCCAACAGTGTGAAAAATGAAATACAATTTATTTAATTTGTTCTCATAAATAATCAGTATTGATCATAAGCACTAATAACATGATTCAACGCACTCTCACAACATAATGCATCATCCTGCATTGTTTGTTGAACATTCCCACCTAATACTACTCAGACAGAAGCCAGTGAGATAAGTTGATTAGCATGTTTTTTATTTGCATGTTTTCATGACAGAAGTAGGGTTGGGTATTGCTAAATTTTCGTATTGCAATATATTGTGATATGAATTGGCGTATTGCAATATGTATTGCAACATATTGTGAAAGTGTAACACATGGGTTAAGGTAATGAAATTTCTGTTTCCTTTCTTTTGAAACAATGCCTCTGGCCACTATCAGGACTCAGATGTAATTGTACAAGAGATCAATTATTGAAAATGTTTCCAAATTGAAGACTTCGCTCTGAGGTTTGGAACTCGAGAAAAAGCGTCTGCAGCGGCGTCTGCTATTTTGGTTTGTTTATGGTTACAACGAGTGCCGGTACCAATCTATACTTTTTATATTTATATGGTTTAATAAAGCAATTACATGACCAATAAACATTCTCAAAACTATAAATGTATAATAGTACAAAGGAAATACAAATGTTATTAGTAGTTTGGACTACATCACGAAACCGGTTCGCGAAAAATGTACCCCAATATATCATATTGTGAAGCTCGATTACCGGTATCTTATCGCCCACCCCTAGACAGACGCCAGTGAGATAAGTTGATCAGCATATTTTGATTTGCATGTTTTGATTAGTAAGTTTTCGTAACAGAGGCCAGTGGCTGCATTGCTAAATAGTATTAATGTGTCTGTGATGATGACAGTATTTATCAGTGTTCCAAAATGGACGTACTGAAGAGCAATAAGGGAGGAGTTAAAATAGCATTAGATTAATTTTTAAACACAAAGAAGGTTACAAATAAGAGTAGTATTAGGTGGGGATGTTCAAGAAACATTGCAGGATGATGCATTATGTGGTAGTGTCGGTCGCGTATCGATCCGTCGAATTTCTTCCAGAGTAGTAAAATGCACTCGACGGATGAGCACTGTGATCTTAGCTATTAAGTAGTTATCAAAACATTGGATCATACCAAAAAAAGACACAAGGGGTGTTGGTTTGACTCTCTTTATTTTTGTACTTTTGTACAAAATTGAAATTGCATTCAGATTCAAATATATACAAGGATATCATATCTAATATACAGTATATATCTGCATTCAATAAAATGAAACATTGACACATTTTCAGCACATGTTACGCACGATCACCATACTCCGAGCAAGCGTCCAATACAATCAATGTAGCCCATTAATCCGATGTCACCGCTCTGTAGTTTCTCCTTCTCCCGGCGGAGGCCATGCGCCTTCTATCCACTGTGTCGTGACATAGTCCATATACTTGGTAACCTGTTCACCACCAGGGCTCACAGCCATGATGTCCAGCCTCGCATCTTCAACATCACCTACAGGGACAAGTGCTAGGGCCTTGCTTCTCGGCATCTTCTCGGCATCTGAACTCGGCATCTTCTTTGTAGGTCGAAGCGAGTCCCTGTGCTTGGATCTTCTTCCACAGGGCCTGGGCAAAATGAAAGAAGCATCCGCGGATCTGGACTGTAGGGGAAAACTTCAATTGCTGCGTTAGAAACGGCATGTTCAGAGTCGATCTGAATGACACTGGGTTGCAGGTTGAAGCTATGGGCGGCTGCTGCTTCCTTGATGTGGCGGAACATGGTGACGTACGTGTCCTTGGTCTTGTCAGGAAGAATGCAGTACACTAAGGGAAACATATGTCCTTGAACTTCTGCATGGAGAGTGTACAGTTGGTAGAAGAGATGTGGAGCCGAGTAGAATGCGCCGTCGCCGTAGATGACATCTGCATTACTCAGGAACTCCAGGTTGGCCGCGGTGGTGAAGATAAGAGTTCTCTTTCCCTGGTTTTCGATGTCAGCAATCAGAAAGTCTTCACCGGAATCTGTTATTGTCCATTCATCCCCCATCTGGACCTCAGGCTGTGATGTCGGCAGTCTGGGTAGATCCTTTCTTCTCTCTCGGTAGAGTGGTGTCCTGATGTTGGCGAAGGTGGGGATGTGGTGCAGGATGTCGTCAGGCAAGGAGCCGGCACTTCTTCTCATGTTGCAGAGTTCGTCCTCGTAGATCTTGGTGATGGCTGTGGTATCTTCTCTGGCTCGATCCACGAGGCGCGTCCTGAACACGTTAACTTCATAGGCATAGGGAGTTGAAGCGTGGTTGTGGTCCGATGTTCTGATCAGCCTGTCGTTCATGGTCGTCATCTGTCCATTGCAGCTTCTGTCTGTGCATCTTGACAGCGTCTTGATCACTGATCCGTTAAGGTGTGAAGTGTCGTTGTGAAAATCGGGACTAACAGAATGACCACTGTCAAAACGCCGCACTCACGAATAAAAAGAAGTTGTTATCCATAAAGTTTGTTCTATATTGTACTTCCCAACTTCTAAAATGCCACTCAAAGAAGATATCTTAGACAGCCATACCTTACACAGCCATACCTTAGACAGCCATACCTTAGACAGCCATACCTTAGACAGCCATACCTTAGACAGCAGACAGCCATACCTTAGACAGCCATACCTTAGACAGCCATACCTTAGACAGCCATACCCATATACCTTAGACAGCCATAACTTAGACAGCCATACCTTAGACAGCCATAACTTTGAAGACAGCCTTAGAGACAGCCATAGCTTTAGACAGCCATACTTAGACAGCCATACCTTAGACAGCCATAACCAGCCATACGCTAGACAGCCATACCTTAGACAGCCATACCTTAGACAGCCATACCTTAGACAGCTATACTTAGACAGACAGACATAACAGACAGCCATACCTTAGACAGCCATAACTTAGACAGCCATAACTTAGACAGCCATACCTTAGACAGCCATAGCTTAGACAGCCATAACTTAGACAGCCATACCTTAGACAGCCATATAACTTAGACAGCCATAACTTAGACAGCCATACCTTAGACAGCCATAACTTAGACAGCCATATACTTAGACCAGCCATAACTTAGACAGCCATTAGACAGCCATAACAGACAGCCATACCTTAGACAGACAGCCATACCAGACAGCCATACCTTAGACAGCCATAACAGACAGCCATACCTTAGACAGCCATACCTTAGACAGCCATAGCAGACAGCCATAGCAGACAGCCATAACATAGACAGCCATAACTTAGACAGCCATAGCAGACAGCCATAACTTAGACAGCCATACCTTAGACAGCCATACCTTAGACAGCCATAACACCATAGACAGCCATAACTTAGACAGCCATACAGCTTAGACAGCCATACCTTAGACAGCCATAACTTAGACAGCCATACCTTAGACAGCCATACCTTAGACAGCCATACCTTAGACAGCCATAACTTAGACAGCCATAACTTAGACAGCCATACCTTAGACAGCCATACCTTAGACAGCCATAACTTAGACAGCCATAACTTAGACAGCCATAACTAGCTTAGACAGCCATAGCTTAGACAGCCATACCTTAGCAGACAGCCATAACCTTAGACAGCCATTAGACAGCCATACCTTAGACAGCCATAACTTAGACAGCCATACCTTAGACAGCCATAACTTAGACAGCCATAACCTAGACAGCCATACCTTAGACAGCCATAACTTAGACAGCCATACCTTAGACAGCCATAACTTAGACAGCCATAACTTAGACAGCCATACCTTAGACAGCCATAACTTAGACAGCCATAACTTAGACAGCCATACCTTAGACAGCCATACCTTAGACAGCCATACCTTAGACAGCCATAACTTAGACAGCCATAACTTAGACAGCCATACCTTAGACAGCCATAACTTAGACAGCCATACCTTAGACAGCCATACCTTACCTTAGACAGCCATAACTTAGACAGCCATAACTTAGACAGCCATACCTTAGACAGCCATACCTTAGACAGCCATAACTTAGACAGCCATACCTTAGACAGCCATAACTTAGACAATAATGACGGGGATTAATCAAGACAACACCCATGGCTGAAATGGAACAGTCCTAATTAGTGTTCCCTGCTGAGTAGACCTAGCTCGTAAATAAATAAAACAATTGAAGCTGTAAAGTATGTGTAAACTCAAATCTTTGAAGGACATTTAGAAGTGGAATGCATAAGAAAGGCAAGATTTATGGATGTCAACTTCATTATTGTGAATAAAACGACGTTTCGGAGTGTATGCTTACTCCTTCATCACCTGGACTCTCACCTGATGATTTTGTGTACAAATCATTTATTCTCAAGCAAAATTTTCAAAATGTAATGACTATGACTGCTATATAATTCATGTTATTAGTTCTTATGGTCAATACTGCCTATTTATGAGAAAAAAATAAAAATATCTAAAAAAAATAAATTAGATGTCATTTTTCACACTGTTGGGATCTTGTCCGCAGTGTGCAGACATTTTGTCTGGGCGGGATTTTGTCCGGGTGGGATTTTGTCCTACCCTCTTCAGCAACCCTTGCTTGCCGTTAGAAGACTAACGGGATCGCTGACTTGGATTAAGCATGTCATCGTATCCCAATTGCGTAGATTGATGCTCATGCCGTTGATCACTGGATTGTCTGGTCCACAGGGGTGGGGGTTTTAGCCCAGTGGTTAAGGCGTTCGCTCGTCACACCGAAGACCCGGGTTCGATTCTCCACACGGGTACAATGTGTGTCACTGTGTACTTAACGATAAAAGAGAATACGATTTCATTATACGTCCCAGTTGTCCTGGCTACACTGACATTAGGCGTATCTGTTTCATTTAATTATTACACAGTTTGCCCGACATGGTAACTGATATATGTGGCAATACAAAACGTCGATAGCAGAGGACATATTGATATTATAAACTCAGTGATCATATGTCGCAAATGATGCACGACATTAGATTCGCGTACGGCATAAACAATGTCACGTGACACATATTTTGTAGGGAGAAGCGCTTATGGTGAATATTTGCGTGTGCCGACACGAATTGGAGGAAGAAATTGTGGTAAGCTGTTGATTAAAACATCACGTGTATGTGTGTTGGTTGGTTGTGGATGTCTCAAGTGCTGTCTTTTTTTCCATGGCACCACAGTTTAACGATTTTCTTATTACTAATGGCGTAAGCACGTAAAATAAGTGTGGTTTACAAACTGTCAGTTATGGACTAATCTAGTACGCTGTTAGGGTTACCAGACGCACGTTTTACATATCGCCGGTTTACATTTTGTTAGAATATTGACGATCGAGTTTAGCCGACGCTTTACCACAGGACCACAAGAGCCTTCACGTGTGATCAGTCCTCAGTTCACGAGTTATTAGCACCTCATTAACCCCCTGGATGCCACAGGGACATATATGTCCTTCCCCTTCAATCCTCAATTTCAAGTCCAATAAAAATCAAAATATATCCCACGCACACAAATACACTTCACAGTTTCGAATTCTGCGGGAAATTTCCTGTTTCTTGATAACACCCACTAGTATTTTAGACAAAGCTCAAGTGCTGAAAATGACCTTTCAAAATTGGCTTCATCGAAAATGTCGCCTTTTTTGACACAGTACGAAATCGCGATTCACAGCGTTATTTGCTGTATGTTTTGAAATGTGAAAATCGGATAACTACTGGGAGTATTGAATTTGAAAAATAACATATTTATGATCACTGATCCCAGCAGGCACATCAACGTTGTTTCAACGTTGAGAATAGGTTGATCCTCAACGTTGAAAATAGATTGAAAATAGGTTGTATATGAAAGTTTTTGACGTAGATATCCGGCGATGGAATCAACGTTGAAGTTTGACCGATTATCAACGTTGAAAAAGGTTGATCCTCAACGTTGAAAATAGATTGAAAATAGGTTGTATATGAAAGTTTTTGACGTAGATATCCGACGTGGAATCAACGTTGAAGTTTGACCGATTATCAATGTTGAGAATAGGTTGATCCTCAACGTTGAAAATAGATTGAAAATAGGTTGTATATGAAAGTTTTTTGGCGTAGATATCCGGCGTGGAATCAATGTTGAAGTCTAACATATTATTAACGTTGAAAATGGGTTGTTCCGTGGTTGTGTCTGGGAGGTATTACGCTTTCCTGTAAATAGACTCGCGACTTCATCTTTTAACTACAATAAAGTAGCACCAAACTCCTGCATCCAGCTAAAATACCCAAAAGCTACATGCAATAAACAGTGTTCAAACAGAAAATTGCAGTAAAAATATTTACCTGATAAAATACTTGGTTAAAATTCCACATTCAATATAATGTTCACTTAAGTTTTATGTCAGTTGGGCGTATAATTCCAAAAGAAGAAAAAAGAGTATTCCAAATTAAGAAAAACTATTTACTGTTGTATTGTTACCTTGAAAAGGTGAAAATTGTCCCGAGAAGACATTTTGTCTGAATTTCAGCTCTTAGACAGACCCCTGAATAAACACAATGCAATTACTTTCACCATGAAAGGCATCCAAGATGACCAGGAACTATACCTGAAGACAGCACATAAAACAAGTCACTTTTCATGAAATCTTTATGAACACACACGCACACAGAAAACGTGGTTTAATGCATAATGTAAAACATCACACATGACATAGTCTGTAGGTGATCTCTGTTGTGCTAATAACACAATATCATCTGCATATAGCATCAAAGTGACATTTACGCCACCAATTTCAATACCACAGTTCAGATTTTTCAACACAATTACAACTCCAAAAACACAATTATCAGCTCCACTTCTTTCTGCCACTCCCTGCCTGGCGGTCAGGTGGATACTTCAGAAACGTTCCTAACTCTTTCTTGAAATTTGCTTCGGATGCATTCCCATCTCATTCCCTTGAGATAGGACACATTCTGAAATTTTATATTGAAATACATGAATAAGTTATATGGAAGATATATTGTCTTAAATGATTCAAGTATTTGTTTAATCAATCACTTGAAAGGTTCATTTCATTACTGTAACTTGGCATGTGAACATATGAACAGCATCAATACAAAATATGAAGAAAAGTGTAAACAATTTATATCTTCAACCGAAGGAATGGAAGTTTTCTTAAACATTTTCAAAGAAAATCCTCAATTGCAAGTTGATTATTTAATTAGACTATGAATTACCGGTAGGATGAATTAGACGATGCTTTACTGTCATATATTATTTGCTATGGTCATGATGAAAATGCTGCACTTGGTAATTAACTTACCAGAGATGATTGAATACAACCTTGTATTCTTAAAGAAAACTTGCCGCTTTTGCCCATCAACATTCATTCTTGACATCAAATTGTTTGACATTGTCCTGCAAAACAATGGAAGATTGTTGTCATTCTGTCAGATTTAGTTTTCTTTAGAGATTCTCGAAATGATTATTTCAAATTAATAGGAGTTGAACTGATGTAGCAATTTTGCTACCAGGAGTCATAAATTGTAACAAAAGCCATTTTACATTAAATGATAAGAAAACAAAATGGGTGGTGGTTCACAGGTCAAAGAACAAGTCTATTGTGGGAGGTCTCCCAACACCATTTGTTCCCAAACACAAGGAAGTATGGATCATGGAGTTCTGAAAACAATAATGAGCTCTCATAAGTATACAATATATTCTCTATTATCTACTCTCTCTCTCTTTGTCATTTGTACACTCATAAAACTCAGATAAATAACTTTTTTATAATTCATAAATGTTTACACTTAATCTCTTATAGGAACGCTTAGAAAATCTCTCATATAATGAATTATGTGTGCGTATTATCTGCGACGTCATAACTATGCTTCTCTGAATCATGAACAATAAAATAATGAGATTAAACTCTACATTGCCAGAAATTATCTATCATACCATGAACAATAAGACATTGAATAACATCTCTTACAACTCCAATCTACACTCAAAAGACTTAAATGTACTTTCGTAAACAAACATCGCTGGCACACACGCAAATTCTTGGAAACAGTGCATCTCTGACTCTCAATTCCAAGAAATGGAAATCCTACTCTATTTGACCAAAGGGGTGACAGGTGGCCAAAACATATTGAAATGTAGGTCATACACTGAAAATAACTCTGATTTAAAACACTACAAATATATACCTTCTCTCTAATATACTCGATAGATGATCTTAACAAGGGAACATGTACATAAAACGCTGATATCTAACAACACCTGTACTTTAATTAATGGACTCTTCCAAATCTCAGTATGTTTCACTGCACACATATTAGATTGCAAATAATGAAAAACCTACCCTTTGACAATAATAAAAACATCATATTCAAATTCTACAGCTGACCAAATACCGAAGAGTGTGTTTCCCAGCAATAAACATCTCTTGTATCTATAAATGTATGACTTCTGTCCTCTCGCAAGTGCTATCTTGCATCCAGCTGTTTACGGCGAAAAACAATATGGCCAAGCAAGGGAGTGCTCATTAAACTAAACATCTCCGGAGAAATCATTGTCATTTTTTCTCTTAAATTTTAAACCTTATATATATAAATGAAAATAAAGACCAACTATTATCACCAAAAAAGACCAAACATTATCACAAATATTCAAAACAGGTGGTAATGAAAGAGCATTATCATCTTTCTCTTAAACTTTGTGGTGGATATACTGGAAACAAGTGAAATGTTAAAAACGTGTTACCTTAGCCTTGCTCCTTTTATGTGATCCACAAAATTGCTGCCACCCAGTCTTCGAAGATGAGATTTCTGCAAATTCCATTAAAATAATCTTATTTCATAATTAAATGTTCCTTACATTAAAATTACTTCTTTTGTATGTAAGATTTTAACCTTTAAGAGACATGAATTATCATATCCCTTCCAAACAAGTGTAAGAATGAAAGTCTGTGGGTGCAGTTTTGTTAATTGTCCCATCAAAGAATCATTAGTGAAGTTACAGTTTTGTAAATAAATAAATGTTCAAATAAATTATATACAATTTCATCCTTAACAAAGACTTTCAAAAGACATTTTAAAGTGAAAATTTTCGTTGCATTTCCTTACGCCATTCTCCACCACCCCCTCACCCCAATAATATACATATGTTGACAGGGTTCAGGGCGTGCTCAATGCATCATTTACTGATAGATCTATTCAAACGAACAAATGTTCATAATAATGGGATGCAATATAAAATGTTGATTAATCCTATCCGATTTTGTATAGTGTATAGCTGCCCTTAGGGACCGTTCATAATGTATGGCTTTGGGGTGATGTTGATTTTCATGTACAATGTGAATTACACACACCCCCCCCCCCCCCTAAAAGTGTATGAGTATGTACAGAATAAGAGACGGCCCACCCTGCATGTCATGTACATTATCTGTGACGCCTCTCCCCTTCCATAATTTCTAAACATAGTGCGTGTGTACAAAAATGCTGACCCCTTAGCTCCCTGAACAAAATGGGTGACACCCCACCCCACCCTCCAACCCTTACAATCAACACCCCACCAGCAGCCATATATTTAATTATGAACGGTTCCTTATATTGATGTACTTCATTGATTATTTGAAAATGTATATTTGCAAAATTCAGATCAGGTGATGGGTACGAAAGGAAATCTTATTCGATTCTATAATAAAATGCCAAATATATGCATGCAAATATATTGAAAAATAACAAAACAAGTTCATGGAAAACACAGGCTTCCACTAAATTTTGAGAAACATGTACATACCGGTAACCTTGTGAGATAAAACATGAGCCCTAATTCTGAGTTTCTTGCTACTGCCAGATTTAAACGGCATTCCTACGTTTTCATTATACATGAAGGACATACTTACCAAATAAACACCAGCATGCCGTGAAGATGGTGAAAATAGAACGATATTGCGTTGAACTTCGCCAAAGTGAACTGACAACGATCAGCTGCCTTTGCGCGCGCGATAATTGTGCGCATGTCCGGATATGGCCAAACGAGGCGATCGGAAGGTCAACATCTGGCTTGTGTTTGAAAGCAAATTGTCGGGAATTATACAATTTTCACAGTTTTGTGG